CAAAAATGAATGGTAAAAAAGAAAAAAAGAAAACAAATTGAAAGAATAAAAAGAAAAAATTTACATTTCAAATAAAATTGTCACACTCTCTTTCCTTTAAAAAAACTACTAAGCACCCATACATGGTATCTTTCTGATGAAAAATGAACGAATATGCACAACTTTGTGAAACCGGTAAAAACCGGCCGGTCCAATTCACTCAAAAGGTCCGGCCGGACCGGACCGATTACAACTCTGCCAGGCTGAACATTTGCATTGACAAGTATGTGTCGGTGTGAAAATTGTTTCATGAAATAATCTTCAAAGGTTAGAAAAAATATAAATATCTATCTGCTCACAAATAAATAAGCAAGTATGATATGAGGTTTCTTGTGTGAGATTTATTTTTGCGCAATGCTCAGTACTATAGTTAATAAGATCATTACTCACTACAACTTTTTTTACTTAATACTATATGCTACACATCGTGAGACTCAAGAGGGTGTTATGCAAGGAAAAAAATTAATGGAAAATAGCGACTGCTACAGCAGTATGTAGCAAAAGATTAACAGAAAATTCTATGCTGTTTCATTAATTTTTCATTTCGATCAAATAGTTAACAAGTGCTAATTTTACCCATTAATTTCGTCAGAGACTGTTAATTTCAATTGTGAAAGAATCTTTTCGAAAACGATAGAATAGTGTTATTATAAATTATTACCGTTTTGTTTTCAATAAATTCGTTGACATCACTTCAGCTCAAGTAGTCTTACATTTTTCAGTTAGAAGTAGTTTGATTCCACGTATCATTAACCAGATCTAACGGTGGTAACAATTCAATGAATGGAAGTGTATGGACTGGTTTTGGTTTTTTTACTTGAGCCTCCAAGAAAGATAGTTTCTTTTTAAGTTCGTTGATTTGATCTAAAAAATGTTCTACTGCTTGTTGTTTCTTTGCACGTTCATCAGCATACTTATTATCAATCAGCTTTTCAATATCATCGCGTGGTACGATTTTCTTTTTAGTATCTTTTAGATTGTTCTCCATACTCTCATAGTCACTTGTTTGCTTTGTGTGCAATTTTCCAATTAGGTTTTCATGCTTTTGATCACTTTCGTTTATTTTCTGAAGAAGTTCATTCTTATCTACTGCTGTCAAAGCATTGGTATTAACCGGTGTGATCACTGATGTCGGCGGTGGCGAGTCTAACAGCGTCTTCAACGACTTCAGCTCGCCAAGTGCCTCCTGAAGTCCTCTCTTGGTAATCTGGTAATCTCTTCTAAGATTGTTTAGACCTGTTTGTAGTTCATTGACTTCAGTGTTTGGATCAGATGTATGCAACAGCTGACCCCGCAGGAGTTCCATTTCATGTTGAATGCTCCTCTGTTGCTCAGAAACTCGGGCTAAGTTGGAGGATGAGTCAAATGTTTGTTGTAGATGAGCTAGTCTACTTTTAACATCTTCTAGTTTTGCTTCAATAGAATTTTTCTGTTCCACCACCTCCATTCTTCGCTCTATACCTGTACTAGCTACAGGAAGAAGAGCTGTTAACCGTGTGGTAAGTAATCCTTCTAAATGTTCAAAGGCTTTCTTCACTCTTCTTTGTTCATCATTCAGGTTCTCCAGATCCTTCTGAAGTTTGTTAAGATCCGATTGCTTCGGATGCTCTGCTTCTTCAATTTGTTTTCGCATGATTTTTATTGCACTCCCTTGCTCATCAAGTGTCATTTTTGATATGGCTTGATGATCTTTAATTGTTTTATATTCGATTTTCAGTTTGTTAATGGCATCTTTCAACGTCAGATCGGATGGTTTCGCAGCATCATTCAGACGTTCTTCAAGTTTTTTCAAATCGTTGGCATATTTTTCACGATCTTTCTTGGTATTCGATTGTTCAGTTCTTAAATCGCTTATCAATGCTGTTTGCAATTGAGAAATAGTCTCAGTGTTTGCTTGAATTTCCATTTGTTGATCGTTCTGTTGTTGTTCTAATCTCTCTAAGAAAGTCTTTAATGCATGAGTTTTTTCGTCTAGATTAGCTTGGACTCTTTTCATGATATCGAGTTCATTTTGTACGTTCCATATAAGAGAAGAATTACTCTTGATTTTATTGATTAACCGAAGTTTACTTTCGAATTCTGTTTGACTTTCATTTAGTTTACGTTGTTGTTTTTTGACATCAGACATCTGCTTTTGTAAATGACCTATACGTCTTAGAAAGAGAACAAAAGTACTCAATGAATTCAATATACTTCTTCATTCTTATTCGTAAGATCGGCTAATTTCTACAATGATTGTAAAGCTCCTTTCATCTCTAAATACAGTCTTTCTTTCATTTAAAATCATATCCTATCGTAACGTCATATATAATGAGCGTCATAGCTCGTATGAAATACCTTATCGGTGCGGACCATGGACGTTCTGGAATGACTGGCGGATTCCGTAAAACAGGTTTACTACCTTGGTTAATCAGATCCTGGAAGTAATAATCAATTAACGATGCAGACTTAAGTCAAAAATAGTTAATTCATGTGTTTTCACCTTCTGAAATTTTCGATTGTTATACAGGTGTAATTTCTGATCTTGTTTTTTTCTATTTGCCTAAAAATTTCGGAAAAACTTTCCTGTTTATTACATTTTGTTTTTTTTTCTTACCTCAGCATGGTGTACGAGATACGAATATTTTTTATCGAGTGTTTCTAATTGATTTCGTAGTTCAGCTTGTCGCATCCAGTCGATTTCGTGCGTACTTGAAAAACGCACAAATAGAGTTTGTTGTTAAGAGAAGAATAGTATTGAATAATAGTATCCATAATCAAAGAATTATTCCTTTTGTGTTCTCCTTGTGAAAGTCCTCAAATGATGATTGTATATGCTCTCATCGAACTGTAGAAGTAAGACAATTTGCTGCTCGAAACAACCGTCTGAATTTAGCATCATCCATTATTTTATTATTTGTGCAACTAACGCAAAGCGACAGATAAAAAGCGCGACTGAGCACGATGTCAGCAAGGACTCTAAGAATGACTCTCACTCAGTAATTCAAAAGTTTTTACTTTTTCCCAGCAAAAGAGAAAGTGGAAAGCTTTCACACTACCTTCGCGATGGCTTTACGATTCATTGATCCCCACCCGAAAATCAGAAAAGATCATATCCTTGGTGAAGACGTAGCTGAAAAATGTGTCTCGAACTTCTCCATTCAGTTACGTTTTATTGAGAGATCCTTTTTTGTTCGAAAGGACATCAAAGTTAGAAATATTTAAAGATTTCTTAATTATTTTATTTAATAAAACTTCAAGTCAAAGACGGGATCATCAGACTACATTGATATACATATGTGATAATAGGAGATAGTCTGTTCTGTTATGTATAGTACTACAACCAGTGAAAGATAATTAACAAGAGCTTTCAACATACGTGCACAAAGACAGTGGAACGAAGAACGCAGATACTGCAAGCAACGAAAAACAAAAAATAAAAACATAGACTGTTTTTCCTCATATTCAACCATTCTATTATCTTAAATGTGAAAACATGGAAAATAAAGAAGCTGTCTATTTTAGCATAGAACGATCAATAAATCGTTGTCAAGATCCCACAGATATGTGTGATTTTCAGTATTAGATACTATAAATAAACAACAAGATCCAATACGTTTAATTATGCGGTAGTTAGTTTTATGAAAAACGTAGATGGTGAAGCGGATGAATATGAGGAAGAATGATATATATTTTTACTTTTTTGTTTTTCGTTGCTTCCAGTATCTGCGTTCTCCGTTCCACTGTCTAAGTTGTACAAGTATGTTGCAAATTTTTCGCCCTTGACAAAATTGTTTTTGATAACACTGATAAGATTTCGATAAGAATCTTATCAGTTTTATCAAAAAAAGTGACTTACCAGTGACTTACAAGATTCTTATCGGAACCTTATCAGTTTCTTATATAAGATTGTTTAACCATCGATAGTTGTAAGTGTCATATAAGAATCTTTTAAGATTTTTATAGACATTCGTAAGAAATTCATAAGAAGTATCAACAATTCTTATGTTATTCTTATTTACTAAGAGGCAGCTTACGAGCTGGTTTTACTGATTTCCGATATGATTAAGTTGCTTCTATTGGCTGGAAAACCTCATAAGAGTTTTTGGCACTCCTTATGAATTTCTTCCGAACCTCTTATAATATGCTTTGCGAGCAACGACTTATTAATCAAAGACTTGATTATTAATGCAGTTTTTTTCAACTTCATTTTTAAGACTTCACTTTTAACCTTCAGTTCTCTTCACAAAGAATTCGATTTCATTCGTAATTTAGCTAAACATAATGAGTATCCGTTATAATTTGTATATTCTATCATTGGCAAATAACTAGCAAAGATGTACATTAAGGACATAACACCTGCTACTTCTACTGATCCGTCTTCAAGTGAAAGCGTTGTATTTCGTATACTGTATTTTGGAGCAGGCAGTCGGTCTTACGACAAGAGGATTGTAGAAATAAAAATGTGTTAGAATAGTCAATGATATTACATCTAAAATAGGCTTAGGTTTTAGTTCGAAAGATTTGTACCTAGTCATTTATAATCAGGACTAGTGTATGAAGCAAGATGTAGTGAATGTGGTCAAACTTATATAGGAAAACGTGTCATCATCTAAAAACTCGAATCTCAGAACATCTAAAAGAACAGAAGAAGTTGACTAAAGCGAAGAGTACAGGAGGATCACTTAGAATAATGCAAACAATCGTAACACCGGAAAATACGAGCATAAATGCTTCTCGATTGGGTCCGGTAACACGCTCGCAAACTGGGACATCACAACGTAAAGTACAACAATTAAATCAGGGCAGTCTAGAAGAATTGCTGAGTACGTTATCTAATATCGAATAAAACTCAAAAGAACCACAGTTAAAATCAGTAATCGGAAAACATTATCATACTACTGGACACGTAATGAAAGATGTGGACTTCTACATTCTACTAAGAGAACAACACAGATGCCGACTACTAGTAAAGGAGTCACTGTTGATTCGTTTTGCCGCACCAATGTTGAATGGAACAGATCGATCTGTCCCGCTGTATGTTTTCCCTGACGGCTTTGAGAAAGTGGCAAGCAAAGAAGATGGTAAGACTTACAATCGAGAAGGTCAAGGTTGAAAAATACTTTATGATCATGTATTGATAATGTCTGACTAGCTTTTTATATGCGCATATAAAACACATGCGTTCTAGAATGATTCTCAACTTTTCTTTCAGACTAGTACGTCAAAAGAAACGAAAGGAAAAAGAAAACAAGTTGTATATATAGGTTTTACTTTTATGTACAATCAGCTTTACGTTTGAAAATGATCTTATAAAGGGTCGAAATATTACAAAAATAAAAATAAAATAAAAATGAAGTTTAAAACAGCTGCATTAATAATCAAAATCATGTAAGATTCTTATAAGACACTTACGACTGTCAATGGGAAATCTTAAACAATCTTATATAAGAAACTGATAAGGTTCCGATAAGCATCTTGTAAGTCACTGGTAAGAGACTTAGACGTTTCTGATAAGATTCTTATATAAGAATCGATGTATAGGGCCTACTCGTGATTTCTGTTTTTATTAATTATCTTTCACTGGTTGGAATACTATATATAACAGTACAAACTATCCCCTTTTATCACTTGTGTGTATCAATGTAGTCTGATGACCGCGTCTTTGGTGTGAAGACGTTACAAGTTTTATCAATAAAATGAATTAGAAATAGTCTTACCCTTATAAGGTTTTAAGTATAGGTAAATGATGAACGTATTAGTGAGACATTTTAAGTCACATTTTCAAACAGCTATACAGAGTAATATTCCATCATAGGGAGTAGAACGGTTTAGTTTGAGTTCTCTGTCGCTTGCAGTTACAGTGTAGAGATGATAGAGGCGAAAAACAGCTCTAGTTTTTGCATTGAGATCAATGTTCCTTATATAAATTAGAGTAACTGAAACAAAATATTGAACGGATTCGTCTAGGGATCATGGAGACATTATGGAACGTTATGTATAACTTTGTCGTTTATCTCTAAAATAAAACCTTCATAGTCATTGGATATTTTTAAAGTAAAAAAATGGTCGAATTGCTTATTTTTCATAGACTATTCGATATTTACTTTCGAACGATGCCTTGGATAAATTTCTGTCGTGTGTTTTTCAAGAAATTTCTGTTTGCAGCCTTTCGACGTTCATTGGTGTCAACTACTAGCTGATTAGATCGATTAAGCTAAAACGGAAAGATACAGATTAATCTTGGTATAAATCAGAAATGAGATTGGCGAAACAAACTGCTCTCAGATCTTTTTCTAATTGTGGACTCCTGAAATGATAAGTGAATCGTGGAAACGCAGAACTCGTATACGGGCGAACAATGCTAAAATTAAACACACAGATAGAAATGCACAAATATATAAGTCCACATTTACAGTCTACTTTTCCTTCGAAAAAAGGAGTCGAGACAAAGCTAAGTTCTGTATAAGTATAGAGAAGGGGAATGATAGACAAAACCGATGTACGATGTGGTATTGAGTGAGGTTTGACTTTTGATGTCTTTTTCGGTTTTGCAAACATTTTTTCTGTCTTTTTTAACGTTTCGGATAAAATACGATTCTACTCAATGTGTTTTTCTACAAAGAAAATGTTCATGCTAGATGTCAAACGTCAAGTATATGGACTATTTTCATCATTAATATATTCTTACGTACTCTGATTGAGTATCTGACATTGTTAAATAAGACCAGTTTTTTGTTTAAAATAAGACCAATTTATTGTCTAAAATAAGCGAGAGCATATTTAGTATTTTTCTGGAACCAAATGATAGTAGCATGTGCACATATGCAAGATTATAGGAGAAAGAGATGGAAGCGATATTTAATTAAAAACGTGATACAAACAATAGTAACCTGCAAATTTGAAAACACATACCGCTGCAACATTCTTAACTTTGTTCAAGACAAACTTTCGATGGGATCGGTACGATACATAAAAAACCTAGTTTTTCAGGAAGCCATATCGATGAGCTCTAAG